TTTTTTTTCCAATAGTTTCTCTGCGAAAGATAGATACCATCCATCACCCATCTATGGACAAAACCAACCAGCCTCCTGAACCTGTCCTGTTCCAGAAGGTTCTGCAGAGTTCAGATACTCCACAGAAAGTTCAGTTAGCCGATAGACCTCAACCTGGAGATATACCTCCTAAACCACAGCCTTCAGAATTACCTCCTAAACCAGGAGAACTGCCTCCAAAGCCTCAGCTATCTGACCTTCCCCCTAAACCCCAGCTAGGTGATCTACCCCCTAAACCTCAGCTGAAAAATCTCCCGCCCAAACCTCAACTGACGGACATTTCCCCACCCAAACCTGTAACCACTGAGGTCCTCCACAAACCTCCTCCTGGAGAAGTGGGAGCCACTTCTCCTCCTGGAGAAGTGGCTCCCAAGCCCCAACCACCAGATACTCTAACAATCATCCAACAAGCTGAACTGTCTCCTCAACCTGTCCAGTCTAGTGAAGACACCAATGGAAGCCCAACATCTGCACAAGACACGCCTGTACCGTTGCCCAGGAAAATAAATCCAGTAAGGATTTGGTCGCCGATGCTTTGGAAAAATGCATTGAAGTCTGTAACAAGCTGCTTTCAACAAACTCTCTTACATTATTTGTTTTGCTTTCTATCAGATAAAGAGTAAAATGCGGAGGGTGAAGACTATCTACGATTGTCAGGCAGATAATGATGATGAGCTTACTTTCGTTGAGGGTGAGGTCATTGTAGTAACCGGGGAAGAAGATCAGGAGTGGTGGGTAAGTGTAACAACACCAAATTTTCAAGCATGTGCACAACAGCATGAGACTGAAGAAACAAAAATTTTGCGAGGCCCTGTGCGGTCGCACACTTTGCATAGCCCTTGGAGCGATTCCACCAACAGTACATAAACAAATGGGCTCCTTGGAATAAAACCAAGAGTCACACTGTGTCGTTTAAAGATGTAATACTGATAAACCATGGTTAAAGCAGAATTGTTTCCAGGCCATTGAATTAAATTTAACTGGTAATCTGGCATTCCTTTTCAGAAATGCCGTAGTTCATCATCAGTTATTCTTTTCTTGATTTAGACTGGCATTTAGAGACACATTCTGATTGCAACCTTTCTTTTTTTGTCTTCAGATCGGGCACATCGAAGGGCAGCCAGAGAGGAAAGGTGTATTTCCCATGTCTTTTGTTCATATCCTGTCTGACTGACACGCAACTGTTGGTCCTCCGCCTCCATCTGTGGGATGCACTTGACTTAGCTGCTGAATCAACAATGCAAGTTTTAGGAAGATGGAATCACAATGAAACATCATCAGAGACAGAG